TATGCTACAGTCTACATGTTACAGTCTATATGCTACAGTCTACATGCTACAGTCTACATCTTACGGTCTACATCTTACAGTCTATATGTTACAGTCTACATGTTAGTCTATATGCTACAGTCTACATGTTACAGTCTACATGTTAGTCTATATGCTACAGTCTACATGTTACAGTCTACATGTTACAGTCTACATGCTACAGTCTACATGTTACAGTCTACATGTTACAGTCTACATCCTACAGTCTACATGTTACAGTCTACATGCTACAGTCCACATGTTACAGTCTACATGTTACAGTCTACATCTTACAGTCTACATGTTGCAGTCTACATGCTACAGTCTACATCTTACAGTCTACATGTTACAGTGTACATGTTACAGTTTTATTTACAGTCTATATGCTACAGTCTACATGTTACATTTTACATCCTACAGTCTACATATTACAGTCTACATGTTACAGTCTCTATGCTACAGTCTACATGTTACAGTCTACATGTTACAGTCTGTATGCTACAGTTTACATCTTACAGTTTACATGTTAGAGACTACATGCTACAGTCTACATGCTACAGTCTACATGTTACAGTCTACATGTTAACGTCTACATGCTACAGTCTACATGCTACAGTCTACATGCTACAGTCTACATGTTAAAGTCTACATGTTACCGTCTACATGTTATTGTCTACATGTTACAGTTTACATGTTACAGTCTACATGTTACAGTCTACATGCTACAGTCTACATGCTACAGTCTACATGCTACAGTCTACATGTTACAGTCTACATGTTAACGTCTACATGTTACAGTTTACATGTTACAGTTTACATGTTAGAGTCTCCATGTTACAGTCTAAATGCTACAGTCTATATGCTACAGTCTACATGCTACAGTCTATATGCTACAGTCTACATGTTACAGTTTACATGCTACAGTCTACATGTTACAGTCTATATGCTACGTCCTACATGCTATTTGAACTCAGTTTTCTAAGATTTTGTTCCTGTTTCAGCTGCAGGGAGATCAGTCCTTTTCGGGACATCTTTAACGTGAAGCGTCCTGCAGGTGTTGCTACGGTGACTGCTGATGAGAGCAACACATCTTACCCCAATGGGAATGTGGACTGGACAAGTAGAGAGGTTACCGTGTTCCACAGCAAGGAGGCAGGAACTCAGATCATCCAGCACCAGGACTCTGTGACGGACTACTGTTCCATTGTGTCCAAGTCCTCTCTGGAACCTTCAGAGTTGGACTCTCTGAGCCCCACAGACTGCAGTTTGTCCAACAGTGGCAGCTGTGTGCTGCTCAACACAGAACCAGTGGATTCAGGTGGGGACCAGGATCAGCAGGGATCCACCAACACCAAACCTGGATCTGCAGAGACCATGGAACCCTCAACATCCCAGCTTCTGCAGGCCTTCACTTTGCTGCCGGTCAATGGGTCYCTGTGGATCCCCAGGTACAGAAAAATGTCCTCATGTAGAGTGGTCCTGCTGGATGACACTGCAGGTCAATTCTGTCTTCTCTAAAGCCAAACAACAATTCAGGTCTTTCTGTTGGGAGGTTTTCCAACCCTGCATGAGGGCTRGAAAACTAAAAACCACAACAGAAACTAGAACTAGAATAGTTCCTGAAGAAACTATGAAAGGGTTTGTCACATGCCATCCAATTTAATTACAGATTTCAATTTACTGTTTATTGGAGATCCCTGTGATCTACTACCATCCCGAATTGGAGATAAATATGTCAATATGTTATAGTCAATCATGCATTTTAGCTATGGCGGCCATCTTGGAGTTTTCATTTGGCTTCAGTAGATGATGGAGATCCTTCATAGCTACCAACACACCAAATGTTAGCTAAAAGTGTTATAAAGTGGCCGAGTTATTGTGGTTTTGTCAAAGCTTGTTCCTGGCTACTACTATACCAGTTTTCAGCTCTGTAAGTCTTAAAATGGCTGAATTAGAGCATTTTTTAAAAATTAGCATTAGTGTTTAACTGAAACTTCTGATTAGCATTCAGAATGCGTTGAGTTAGCTCTCAGCTACCACCCCACCAAATTTTAGTTTATCTTAAAACTGCTGAGCAATGTGGGAGCCATGTTGGTTACATAAAGGCTCGGTTATTGTCGCGCTTTGGGTGGTCGCAGAGTGTGTATAAACACCACGCCAGTGGCGGAGGTGTTTATACTTGGCCCTTACGTTGTTGTAGATTTCTGCAAAAGGACATGTGGAAGTACACTTTATAACTTGTGAAATGTTGTAAATAGGAGAGCAAAAGCATRACGAACAAACATGCTATTTGAATGGATTGCGGCGCGCGCAGACTTTGCAGAGTTTCAAAATTTTGGAGGAGCACGACCACGCACTGGGACCCCGCGTGGGGCCAATGCAGGGGGGTGGGGACAGCGCAGTTGTGTCACTTTTGGCGACCATAAACAAGGCTCAAAGCTCCTTGTTCTGTCACTCAAAGGCTACTCTGCCCAGCAACAGCCTCAGAAGGCCTCACTCAGAAGGCGCGTGATTCTTTTTTTGCGGCAACATTTTGGCTTCAGTACTTTTGAACAAAAAAAGTGTAAAATTTAAATTTTAAATATTTTGTTACATCACTGACATGTTTAACAATAAGAAATTAATAATGGTCAAGCTCAGGGCTGGATAAAGTAATAATTACAGGTAGTTTTTAACACCATTGTCTCTAAATTTGTTCCACCCTGTTAGGGACATTTACATATAGACCACAAATAGTTAAACATGTAAATATTGATAAATAATAACTTTTTTCTTAAAAGGAATATATCACTTTTGTTTTATTTTAGAAATTGTAACATATCATGTAGTTACGAATCATTTATGTCAGTATTGTAAAAAATGTTTTTTTACACATTATTACTGAC